AATAAGACTCCTAAATCACAAGAAATAAAATCAAGAATTATTAAATGGGATGGTCTCAAACCAAAAGGCTTCTTCTCAGCAAAAGAAACAACCAATGAAGCGAAGAGAGAGCCTACATTTGGGGAGCAAAATTTTGCCACCCTTGTGTCAAATAGATAGAGCATTAATCTCCAGGATATATAAAGAACTCAAAAAACTTAACACCAGAAAACAAACAACCCAATCAATAAATGGACCAAGGAACGGAACAGACACTTCTCAGAAGATGATATATAATTAATCAACAAATATATAAAAAAATGTTCAACATCTCTAGAATTAGAGAAATACAAATCAAAACTACTCTAAGATTTCATCTCATGCCAGGCAGAATGGCAGCTATCAAGAATACAGTCAACAATAAGTGTTGTAGGTCTAACTTTTTCAACACGCATTTTTCCATTGACAGTGTCGGGTTTTGCAGATGCCCAAGAGAATGTCCATTTAGTGCTACCAAAGATATCAGGCCATATTAACACTTTTGTTTTCAAATTACTTTTTATCATTTAACAGCTGACTACAGAGGAGCTGAGGAGGCCCGGAGGGATAGGATGACCAGCCATAGCCATCCGCCTGGGCTGGGGAATTTCCTAGCACCTTCAGTGAAGGAATAACTTGAGGTAAGATTTCTATTAAGTAACTTTTGCATTTTTTCATAATTGTTGAGCTATCTGGTTAAAGGATGCACAAGCCCTAAAACAGCCTCCCTATTTTCCCAGAGCAGGAATTCTCTGGGTTGAGGTTGATGGCAGGAAAAAGGGGAAGCCTCAGGTGGAGGTTGGAGGCTGTGCTCAGTCCGACCGTCTCTCCCAAGGGACCTAGGAACAATGAGAGACAAGGGATTCTGCAACCAAATTCGTTCTTCTCATGATTCTTGCTGTCTGGGCTCTGCGAAGCAAAGTGAGATCTCCATGCTAGGCCTTCCCAGAGGTCAGGTCGCTTGTCATTTTAAATCTTGACTTAATTATTTTCTCGAGTCCCTTTTCCTGGAATGTCTACGGTCCTTGTTTGATTCCACCTATAGAAACTTTGTAGTTTAGAGTCAATTGTTCCTGCCTCTGGAAGTCTACCAACAGCTCTGGGGGGAACTGCCCTTCCTGTGGGCTTCTAGAATACTTCAGTGGACTAGCACTGACATACCAGAGCATGATTAGCTATGTGTCTATCTTTCTGCTCAACAGTAATTTGCATAGTATGGGGACTGTGGGGCCTTATTAATTCAGCAAGGAGAAGGCACCAAATTTAGTTACTAATCAAACTAAATTAACACAATATCAGTAACAAAGGGTTAGTGATAAGAAAACCCTGCCAAGATCCCCTGGCCCTTTGAGTAACTTATCACGAGCAGAGTAAATCACATGCATCTTAAATTCCCCATTTTCATCCTGAGATTCCTGATTTTATTTGGGCTGGGAGACTGGTGGAGTGGAGGAGGAAGTCGGGGAACTAAAGCAGTGAGGGATACTTGGAGCTTTAAGCACCATCGGAAGGGAAGCGCCCAGCGTTCCCACGGTGAGCTCTGGTTGCTGATTTGCCTGCATTCCAGAGAGAGCCTTTTACTGCATCTGGGGGCCACTTCCCGTGGCCTGCTGCCCCTGCCCTGGGGTATGGCCACTTCCCTGGCAGGTGCAGAAAGATGCCGGCTCCTAGGGCCCCCTTCTTCCCTGAGCCAAAGACCGACTTGGCAGGAGGGTGAAAGCCCAGCCCCTTACCTAGGATGCTGATTTCACTCAGAACTCCCCCTGGGATCGGGCAGAGATGGACTTGGCCTTGGTTACCATGGTGCCCTGGCTTTCTTCCTCCCGTGACTTGCTCCTCTGTACCCCTTTGGGTTACCCCAGGAGGACTTCCTTAACAAATCGCACATGTATCTTGTCCCGAGTTTTGTTTCTAGAGAACCTACCTAGGACAGGAGTGCAGTTTCATGGTTGCCTAAGGCAAGCTTCTTGCCATGAAGGATAAGAGCAAGCAGGTCCTCGCCTCTGGCCTATGGTCTTGCAAGGGTTAAAATGGTCACCGTTGACTTTGCACAGCTGGCTGTATCTCCAGGTGCCATTTTGCCCACCTCTGGGTAGGGACAATGGGAGCACACCAGAGGCAACCACGTTGGCCATGTTGGGCTTTACCTGTGGGATGCTCTGAGCCCATGTAGTTCTGGGAGGTTCTGAGTCCTAWCAACTGGCATAGCTCTCCAGAAATAGCTCTCTATCTAACCCGACTTAAGCAGAATCTATTCAAAGGTAAAAATGTATTTTTTTTTTCTCTCATCACACTTCAAGGTATTTTTTATGTCTCAACTCAAGCCAAGATGGGAATTGGAAGCGCTACAGCATTTTTTTTTCCCTTTTGGAAATTATTCTTGGGAAATGGGGCTCTTGAAGATGCTGGTGCTTATAGACTTTTCTACCCAGTGCTCAGCTGTCTTCTCAGAGATTCATATAGAAGTGCAGGTTTTAGATGTATGATGTGTGCAGAGTTGAGACGTACAAGTCTTGCTTTCCATTAGCTGGAGGAAGAAAGAAAGAGAGGTGGGAAGAAAGAGAAAAGGTAAAGAAAAGGAGGGAGGGAGAAAAAGAGAGAGGACTGGGGGAGAGAAGGTGGAAAACAAGATGATTTGGTGATCATTTATGTTTGGTTTTACTTTAGGCTGAAAGATCAGTAACATATTCCATCTTCAATTGCAAAATGATTAGCTGTTTCATGTGATCTTATTCAGTAAATCCCAGGCCCTAGCCCTGATAACCATGTTAAGACACAGATTTTACTCCCTGGATGGGACGGATATTGGGGGACAAGATATCATTGTCAGGACTGAAAGTTTTCTTATTTACCTCAGCCTCAAAAATTCCCAGAAATCGACAGATCATTCCATTATTAAAACACACAAAACAAAGTCTGTCCCCTAAAACAGATGTCTCAGAGAGGGTCATTCTAGAATTTTCTTACTCACCTATCAAGCCCTCCAGTCATGCCTTTCTAATGCTTCACCTTCTTTGGTGGATTTGGTCAGATGGGCAACCTGAGACCTAATGGTTGGTATGTCACCAAATGAAAACAGGCAAGCCCCACCAAAGTGAACAATATTGTCCTAACATTTAATTTTGTATGATATTMATGCTACTTAGGCATCATATTCTTCTTGTATCATCTTCAAGGCTGTGTCATGAGTGAATATCAGGTCTTCTGTGCATGATCCTGCAGAACACAAACTCGCTAGAGTGCTAAGCTATGATCATATTACTTGATGCTGAAAGGAATGTACACATGCATATGTATGCCCACAATAGTCTAATTTGAGAAAAATGTAGAATAATATAAAGTGCATGGACTAAAAGTCAGAAGAGCTGTTTTGAGCCTGAAGTCATAGCTCTGTAGCTCTGTGACTTTGGTCAAATCACTCACCCTCTCTGTCTTTAATTTCCTTGCCCTTAAAAGATGACAAATCATGCTTATATTTTGGTCTGAGGTCAAAGTAATAATGTCTTTAAAAGTCTTATATGGTGAGAGAGAATATTCAAGGTTAATTTGCTAATGGAAGCTGAGTCTGGATATAGTCATCCAATAAAAGAAGGTAAGAATTAAAGTTTGATTATAGTAAATCAAATCCTCCATTTACAATCTTTCATCATTCCACTTGGCAAATGTGGTGTGTGTGTGTGTGCATGTGTGTGTGTGTGTGCATGTGTGTGTGTGTGTGTGTGTGCTTTCTTTCTTTTGAGGGTCCGTGCCATGCCAGGTATCCCTGGAAGCTTGAACTGTGATGAGGATGAGGTTGGTAACCAGGACAGCTGTGGTCAAGCTCCAAAATGGAACACAGACAGTCAATGACAGTGTTTGAGGGGCTGGTGAGTACCACACAAATAGAAAGGTGTGCTGAGATGCAGGATTGGTTTGGGGCCCCCTCAGGTGCGGACCTCCTGGGCAGGTGCCATGTGGGTGAAGACCTGATGGGTGATAAGGAGTTGGGCTGTGAATGACGAGCAGAGAGAGGACATGTGGGCAGAGTTGTCTGGACAGGGGACATGAGAGTGTGTCACTGTCCCCTCTGTGACAGACACCTTGCTCCTCCTGACATAACCTTTGCACCAGCCACCTCTTAGGATTTCCTGGGATAATCGAACATTCTGCCGCAGGAAGGCCAGGAAAGCCTGCGCTCCGTGGACTGCCCGACCGGGTGGCTGCAGGAAGACCCCTGGTGTGGGAAGGACCTGTAGCTGGGCCAGCGAAAGACACTCACTGCCTGGTTTACAGGGGACCCCAGAAGATCCCTCCTTAGGCATCTGCACCACGGATGTCACCACCTCTCACAAAAAGGCTAGACCCTAGGTAAGTCCTGCATGAATCCCCAGCCCCAGCCCCACGATCCGGAAGAACCCAGTTTTCCCTATTTATCTGTCCAACTATTTTATGTGGTTTTTTTTTTTCCCCAATTAGGGAATAAAAAGGCAATAGAAAAATCAGAAAACGATATTGCCCTCGGTGACATTCGGCTTAGGCTTCCTGGCCCAGGTTTGGTTCCTGTGGGTGTGCCCTGCTTGCCCCAGGGAGGTGGGGAGTTCTGTGAATATGCATTTGAGGAGAGGAGAGGGGAAAGACGGGAGAACAGAACTTGAGGTAAGGGAGAGCTTGCTAGGAAAGGTGATCTGGTTATTTATTTGTAGTTTACTTAGGTCAAGGGACCTTAAAAACGGCTTTGATAAGAGTGGCCAAGGTTTCTTCGGAGATTAACTGGCATTCTTTAAAAAGGGCATCTGCCCTGTTTTGCACAGGTGTCTGGAGAGCGGGGGACTGGGTGCCCCTGGAGTCCTGTGCTGGGCTGTAGGTTTCCTTAAGACCTGCAGACACCGCTGACATCATGGACTCCATTCTCAGATTCCTTCTCTCTCTCTCTCTCTCTCTCTCTCTCTCTCTCTCTCTCTCTCTCTCTCTTCCCTTCCTCCCTCCTTCTCTGTCCCTCCCTCCTCCACTGCCCAATCTCTCCCAATCTCTTTCTCTCTTCAGTTCCTTCAGGTAATTCCTCCTCAAACTTGTACCAACTTGTTTTTGACTGACAGTGAGCAGTGAGAGAGTCCTCTTCCTCTGGAGAAACCCTCAGCACCCACCTTCCCCAGGGCAACCTGCGTCCACTGAGCCTTCCCTTGGCTGCCACAATTCCACGTCTGTCCAGGAGCCTGCGCCCTCCGTCTCTGCAGGTAAGAGGCACACGCTGGTTGGTGCCCACGCTGGGGCGTGCAGCGTTTTAGAGGTATTTTTGAAAAACTTTCCTTCTAAAGGCAATGAGAAAGTTGAGATTCTTTTGAAACTTAACTTAAATCATTCAAGACGTCCAGGCTTATCTGGGGGAAGTTAACAAGTGTTGTTTGCTTGTGGAAAACGGGTTTTTCCCTTAATGATGGGGCAAAGGAAAAAGAGCACTTTATTCTTGCCTGTGAAACAGTATCCAGATGTTGTCTTGCTTGCCGCGGGTGTAAGGGGTCTAGATCACGGGAGAGGAGTGACTTTGACTTCTCTCTGCAAGTGTTTTTCTATCACAGCGTCTGTCGGAGCCTGGTTTTCAGCGTTTCTAGAGCTCTTTGGCTAATTCTCTAGCAGTCATTTTCCTTTGTCGGTGAAGAAATCAGTTTAGGTTGCCGTAAGGCGAAACCTCATGGGAATATTTTAAAATCTGTTACCTATCCTTATGAGAAAAGAGGTTACGTAAGTCTCCTGTGGTAGGTAGAAGGAATGTAAACAGTGCTGACTTTGGAAACACCGTGAACTTCGTCCACGACCCATTGATAATGCTTTTTATAATCTGTGTATGATTTCAAGCGAGTTTGGACTCTTCTGAGCTAAGAAATGCTACCCTGGGTGAAATCTCCCCGTGGTGCCTGTAAAGCCTACTTTGTCCCCTCTCTGCTTCCGCATTTYGTTGCCTGAAGGAAATCAGAATTTGTTGTTCCGCAGACGCTCCTTGACCTCACGATTGATTCCAGTTACAGGTTAGGAAACTTACAAGAAATGCCATACTTCAACTTCAGGGAACAAAAGACCCAAAACTTCTACTGAAATGTTCAGGTTAACTTCTTTTCGTCTAAACCTATCTGAATTTCCCCCACTTGACCTGTCAGAAGGATTTTGAAAGACTTAGGAGTGACTCTCCACGTTCCTTTCCTGCAACCCCGAAATCCCCCGCTCCCCCCACTCACACACAGTGGTTGTCCTTCCAGACTCTTCCCCGTTTTGTCCCTCGTGAATGTTTAAACAACTAGGTCACAATCAGTCACAGCGTTAGGTGATAAAGCCTCTGCAATTTAAAATTGTCCTAAAACTGAAAGAAAATGTCACATGAAAGTATAACGCACTTTTCAATGTTATCCTCTTGTGAGAACCAGGTAGATACTCGGGAGACTTCCGGCTGAGCCATCAAGCACTCACCTGGGAGCTCCAGAGCTTGCTCTTGCCACACCTTCCTGGGGGTATCTTTCAGCACTCTTCCTCATCCCTGGCCGTCTGTCACATGATGGACGGCCATGCAGGGAGCCAGCCAGGGGTCAGCCGGTGCTCTTCGCAGGAGGCTGTCGAGCGAAGGGTTGACCAGGCTGCTGGGTCCTGCCTCAGAATGCTCACCAGGTCTGGATTCAATAGATGCCGAAGTGGTTGGGGAGCTTTAGAGAACAGTGTTGGTGGCATTTTTTATTCTGGTTGCTTAAGGAAACGCGTTTCTGAAAAGCCCTCCTTCCTTCTGCCCACTCCTTCCTCCCACCCAGAGTTGTGGTCATTTTTACACAAAGTGCTATTTCCCCAGTTTCCTCTCCTCAYACTTATAACCAGTGCAGACAGCCTGTGTTTTGGGGGGAAGAGAGAGTGGGACCCCAGGCTTCACGTGCCAGCAGTCCCGAGCCAACAAAAGCAGGTCTCTTGGCTCCTTCCCCCGGGGCTGAGCATGCCCCGCTTTGTGCTGCACTGTGCGTTGCGGAAATCCTGAACGGCTGCCTGTTCTTTCTTGGTGTGTGTGTGTGTGTGTGTGTGTGTGTGTGTGTGTAATTATACACCTGAATGATAGCAACACGCTGGATATAAGAAAGCCCGCACATGTGTGCTTTTAGCACCAAACAGATCCCTTCCTGCCCAGTCCCTCCCATCTGTTCGAGGCATGGCACAGCCCCCTGACATTTTTGCACATGTTGCTTTGGCATCCAGGGTTAAGTCCAGGGTGTATTTGTATGTGCATCAGTATCTCAGAACCAAAAAAGCAGTCCACAGAGTGGGCAAGGCACAGCTGAATGGCCTGCCCCTGGCAACACTGGTTGCAGGGCACACCCTCCCGAGTTGCTTCCTTGTCTCTAATGTACAAGTAAGGACCTCCTGTCCTCCCCTGCAGCAGTTTGAGCTTTTCACACCAGAGTAAATCCGGTATCTTCAAACGTGTTGTTTTAATTCTTCTTTCAAGTAAAAATAGCTCCACTCCAAAAATAGGAAGCTATTGCAAGGATTAATGTTAGCTTTTATGTTTGTAAAAAAGCTGGTTGATTATTAATGGGCAAATGCAAGAGGCAAACCAGACAAGGGTACTGTCCATGCTCCCATGAGCTCTTCACCTCTGCTCCCCAGGAGCCACCAGGGTGGGTCTAGCTCTGGCCTCTCAAGGACACAGTGCCCTGGAAGGGAGCAGGTGTGACCCACACACCTGGCTCTTTGTTACCACTCAGGTAACTTCCTGGTTCCTGTACTACACACAGGATAAGGAGCTGTGTGACCAGCAGCCCTTCAGAGGCGAGTCCTAGAAGTGCCAGAGCTTCCCTGAAGTAAGGAGCAAAGAGACCCTGCTCCCCATCTTGAAAGGTGGGATTGATGGCAGAGAGAGAGAAAGAGAGGAACAACAATAATGATTAATAGTTTTGAAATAAAGGCTCTGAGAAAGAAGTTTTATTTACTAAGTGCTACTTTCTTAGATGAAAGGGAAAAAACAAGAACACAGACATTCCTGATAGAAGACAAATGACAAGTGACAGATGTAACCTCCACCAATGCTCTCTGGATCCGTTCAGACCATGGTGGGCCCACTCCTGATCCAACYGGGATCCACCTGGTGCAGTGTGCCACATTCCCAGGGACTTGGTGCAAAACATCGATGCTCCTCCTGTAAAGAGAAGGCCGGGCTCCGTGAGCGAGTAGGTCCTGCTCTCCCTGTGATGGGCACTGTCTTTCAAAGCCTATGGCCCTGGAGACCCCATTTGACTGGAGAAGTTCACCCAGGCCTAATTCCAGAACACAACCTGGGTTTCTAGACCTAAAGTTCTATCTAGAGCAGGAAATTCCAGATATTTCAGCCACACTCTGAAGATGGATCAGAGTGGCCTGGTCATGCTCACATCACACACAAGAAGAAAGCAAGCTTTCCATCTAGGTACAAAAGTGCATGCCAGCCCATCCCCCACCCCATGCTTGTCCAGTAGGTGACAGTTAGTGAAGAGGTGTCTGTGTCCCCTCGGGCCTGAGGAGACCATGGAAGCAATTAGCAGCACAGGAAGCGGTGACTTTGTTGGTCCTTCCCCATGACCCTGCGGCTCCAACTTGGAGCAGTTCAGACCTGATTAAGATAAGCAGGTCCTGGGCTGGTGGAAGACAATAGCAGCACTGCCTGTCYACAGTGTCACCCAGAGGCCGGAGTTCAGGGTAATGACGGCCTGAGCCTGCCACGTTTCTGGGACTGCAGGCCACACTAACCACTGAGGCACCAGGGCTGATGGTGAGGACCAGCACCAGGTCTCGGGGTGCTAAGGGGCCATCCACGTCCTGTTCCACTCAGAGCTGCCCTGGAGTTCGGCTGATGGTTGTGAAATTCCTGTGCATTTTCTCTAGTGCTTCTACAAGAGGCTGATTGAGATTTGGTAGCGCTTAAAGATTATACAGCTTTTTCTTCAAGGAAAATGAGTGCACAATTGTGGATGCCAACTTGGACAAGGCTCTGGAGAAGGGAGACTTCCATCAGCTTCATGATCAAGCCATTCTGTATCTCACAAAACAAGGCCCCAAATGTGTTTCTTGAATGAAGGAATGAATCAATTTATGCAAGCTGCTGGTTACTCAGTAACTCTGAGAAATGAAACGCCAAAATGCCCAGTAGTTGTACTTACCCTTATCTAATGATCAGTGGTATATGAGAACTCAGTCCGCACGGTGTCTGGGATACTGCACGTTGCCATGAAGGGTAGATTCCTATCCTCCATGCAACCTTAGGTCCTATCTGGGCCCCAGAGAAAGATGCTATCAGAGCTGTTTTCCTAGAGCAGAGTGTGTGGGCATGAAGTTAATGGTCCATGCTCCTCACTTGGAAAGCCCCTAACTTAAAACCCCKAGAAGGGTTTCCTAGTCATGAGCTGATCACCAGAATGATATTAGAGAATCACAATATTCTCCTTGAATGGACTTGGAGCATGTGCCCCAGCATAAGATCCGTGTGTCTGGCAAGGTGCCCCCTTCCTCCCCTTTAGTTTTTATTAATGCTGTTTCCAACTTCCGACGGCAGTTAACAGTGTCATTTCTTGCTTTGAACGCTTGCTAAACCTGTGCCCCCCAGGCCAAATAATGTTCTCACTCCACGATGTTTATGCTTTCAACTCTGTGCAGATTGATCTCTTGCTCTGGCCTTCTCTKCTATGCCAAAGAATACACAGTCAGGTCCCCAAACCTTGCTTTCCTAATTTACTACCTAAGTTACCATTTGTATCTATTCCTACATTTCAAGAAAAACTAGAGAAGTTTATACCTTACTCCGAATGTTCAGGAAACTTGGCAGCCTGCAGGCTTTGCTTCCAACCCAAACCTGGGTACCTGCTGGGAGAGAAGATATACGAACCCTGAAACACCTGGCTGCTTGTGTCTGTAAATACTGAGGAATGAGAACCGCACCCAGATTCCTTTATATTTCCAGGAGTCCATGGAAAGAATTTTTAAACAAACAGTTAGCTACATCACACACCAACATAAATATGCAGTGATGAAGTCGCTGTGGGTGTGCCTTTAGCGAGAGCATCAGTCATGACACAGACTGCACAGGAGTGGAGACTGTTCCAATACCAAGAGCTTCTCAATACTTTATTTTTGCTTTATTTTGAGTACTTTGTTTATTAAATGTCAAAATTATAATTTCAACCAAAGGTCCATATTAAAGACAAAATGGAAAAAAAAAATAAAAGGCCTTCTAAAT